AGTAAAACGTCAATGGATTATTTTCAGGATGCTGTTTATCAGCCACTTTTGACGTATATAAGACCGATTGTGTCAATAATGATCCAAAAAGAAACAGATTCAACCAAATCTGGTGTGAGTGTGATGCCATTAATTTTGTTACTTGATTGATCTAGAAGAAAATTCAAAGGGTCCAGACAAGTTCGCACCTCTCACAATATGGACGATCCGAAACGTGCTTAAGATTGCAGAAACTTTACAGATTAAACCCGACGAAGCTCATGAAATATTGTCTTTATTGTTTCTCAATAGAACTAGAAAATTGTAAACCAGGCAGGCAATGGTCAAAAGAAAAGATTCTAAGAGATAGTCCACACGTAAAATTAGAGTAAAATGTTAAGTTAGGAAACAAGACGAAGAATTAGATCCCGATTACTATTTAGTCCTTGCCTACATTGTTAGCTAATATAAAGTTGTAGGATGTGGTCTATTATTAAAACAGTACTAATGCCGAACCAGACCGTAATTCAACATCAAAATCAGTCGACAGAGTTTGAGTGAATATGGGGATTGATAACAGGCTGCATATTTATGTTGATCAAGAGCCATATTTACTAGTGGTTGACGTTTTTACAGGTTTATGTCACCGAAACATGTAAATGCTACTAAAGTTTGTTAATGAACCATAATATCTAAACGTAAATGTAGACGATCAGTTATTAGAAGGGATCGATCTAGTAAGCTGAGTACTAACCAACTTTATAACACAATAATACACATGAGCGTTAGTAGAATAATAGGATAGTAGAATAGTGGGTTATAATTTTAAAACATGATCGATTAAGTAAAAGTAAGTATGAGAATTAGTAACAGGCCTCATTTTTTGTCAGTATCATCAATGTAACTGTTTTTCCCAAGTTACTTCCTCACAAGTAGCTTTAAAGACGTAAGACAGTTGTTTCAATGACTGCTTTTGTGGTACTTGTAAATTCATGCCTTCGATAAAATGATCAAGGACAGTAACCTCGAGTTCCTCTCTTAAATATTTTGGAAATGCTGCTGCTGCCAGTTTTTCTTACATTTAACGCAGCATGGAAAAACATTTCTCAACAGAACAGGATGATTTTGAGGTCCAAATACCGTTTGCATTGTGGCAAAAGAACCACTTAGGCTTTCTATCCGCAGAATCACAATACAAAATAATCTTAGCTTCCTTAACGCTTTCTTATGTGGATCCACGTATATCGGTTGCTGGTGAAATCCGTCAAGTATTCCCGATATTCTAGTTCCAAAAAGCACGTGATTCGAGTAAACTATATTCCTCTGGAGTTTGGCTTCGTGGTTCGGCTGACTTTATCTTTAAAACTGATATTAATTCACAGTTTTGTTCAGCAGTACCAGAGTCGTTCGCTTATGCATTAGATTCAGACTTTAAGGTTAAATTTAATACTAATGTTTTAGGCATACGGAAATTCCAAGTCTTCTATTACAGACCGAGCAAACATGTAGTGAGCAACTCTTTCAGTTTTCTGAAATCGTCGCCGAAATAAATCCTCCGAAGAAATGCGCATTGGTTTCCAACTACATACAACCGTTCAATTTAGATCATAAATCCAAATAATCAATCAATCTGTAATCACAAATCAAACTTTGATTCTATCGTACAGTGCTGTTAATGTTACAAACATAATGAGTATTGGAACCCTGTTATCACAGAGCTTTCTTTAAAATTCGTAGGAACGCGGGGCTTCAACTCCGGATGGTTCGTGTCACCCTTATATTTACCGGTAATTCTTTTACTGTTTTACGACCTTTCCTTCTGTCTTGAATAAAAAACACAGTCTTGGGCCTAATATTGGTCAACATGGTCTTCGTCAAAAAAGATTTGTTCAGAATATTTATTTTGCTCTTATTAGTTCATTAGCCATCACACCGTAGACTATTTTGCTCTTTTTCAGACTTATGATAAAATCTCATCATAAAAAATGATATTTTCACTTGAGTATCCCCTACGGATGTTTTTCGTCCATTTATACCCAAGTAGTTTGTGTGTCTATGTGTTCGTACTAAGTTACGTTTTCACTGTTTGTATAATGGTGTTAGGTAAATACAACAAACAATCATGATTTGATTTTGCGCATGTATTGAGTCCACGTTTTTGTTAAATTATCGTAACAGGACTTAGTGTTAGGTTTTTGAATATCATAGGCGTAAAACAGTTGTATTTGGCCGGTATGGATCTATCATGTTTTTCATGTATAATAAGTCCTCACGCGTTCCTGTCGCACCATATATTACGCTCGCCGTTAAACTAAGAAAGGTTAGTTCAGCGAAGAGTTCTCTTTTCGGGAAATTCACTTTCAAAGCTATACAATCTCAATTATATATATACTTATTTTAACAGGATGATAATAATACTGATAATAAACTTCTGTTAGATATGTTATCATTGAGGTTGAACAAACGAAGTTATTAAAAAATTCTTTTAAAAAGAAGGAAAGTTTAATAATCGTTTGATTGTTAACGGCTTAAGTATTCACCAAAGGATATATAGTTTAATTATCATTGGTAAAGGATAGCTCAGCATGCTAGGATAAATGTTGAAATTGAGATTAAATGTAATGAGGATGATCATGGAAACACATTAAACCAGTTGGGGGTAGAAAATATAAGTGGAAGGTGGACGGTGAGGCAGATGTTCGCAAAAGAAGAAGAGTATAAAGAAGGAGAACAAGAAGGGAAAAAATGAAATAAAAATAAGAATAAAAAATTCAAAATAAAAAGTTGTAAGACACCAGGATCATAGTGCAAGAAGAGGTTGCACCTGTCGCTTTGCACACACAATTCTAGTCTTTCCAGATGCATGGGTAATGCTTCGGCAATGCAAAGAAGATGCATTCTAATTGTTTTTGGGAGACTTCTACTTACCTTGTAGATGACTTTGTACACAGTCTGTCTTGATAGGGTGACCTGTGTTTACAAGGTGTTCGATTACTGAGCTTCTTATTGAGCCACTTCCTCCCCTTTTTAGCCATGCCGGAAAATTTTCTTGAATTCTTTCGTTCGATGCGTACTTTATTCAAAAGAATTCAAGAAAATTGGCCGGCATATCTAAAATGAGGAGGGAGTGGCCCAATATGAAGCTCAGTAATCGGACGAAATGTTCTGCCCTACAAATGCCGTTGGGTTGTAGTCATCGCCATTACCATCAATACTTGCTGGTCAGTAACTCATCGATGCAATGCTTTGATTGACTATAGTATAAGGCATAGTTTGCCAGTCAGAGTATACGCATTAAGAAGGGTATAAGGTAGGATATTTGTTTATCAAAGTAGGCGCAAAGGTATGGAAATATATGAGTTATCGATATGGTACCGAGGGGTAAAATAAAACTAATAGCAAGTCAACATAATTTACTGAAGATTAATCAGCTGATGATGAATAGTCAAGAAGGAACTTGTAGTGGCATTGGACAATAACCACACAATCTTCAAAGCTAAATTCGGGATTGCTCGTAAAATACATATGTAATATTTAACTCGGGGACATACGTAACGCTGGAGAAGGCGATCAATGTATTGAAGTTGACCGAATTGCATTGGTCGGCCATGCAGGTGTGGTCCCTGCTGAATGTTACCTTATGTTTTCCATTCATATAAAATATATTGTTCTTTCTCTACTTCATGTATTCGTAATTGATACGATACAGTGAGTTGGTGTAGTCGATGGTGTGACTTCCACGTAAGATCTTATATATTCTGCAGTTATATCAGGACAAATCTACAATTTTAGGATTAGGTCTATTATTAGTGCAGTACTAATATCATAGTAGACCAGAACTCTACAGACTCACATATCTATGACAAATCTACAACTTTAGGGTTAGGTCTATTATTAGAACAGTACTAATAACGATGTAAACCATAATTCTACAGTTCAGCTCCTAAAATAGTGTTATTGTAAGGTTATGGTCTGATTAAATATTAGCACATTTGTCTCCTCCACTGTTATAATAGATCTGACCCCAATGTGTAGATATATCATGTTGTGACTGCCTAATCTATAAGATCTTACTTGAACGTCACGTCATTGTCCACACCCACTCTTCGCATCATACCAATCGGCACTATGACGTCTAGCACCTATGAAGAATATATTTGAGCTGGATAGAGAGTAATATATTCAATACAAAAAGCAATAAATAGTATGGAGTGACTTCGCCTGCATGGCCGAGCCATGTCATTTCGGTTACTTGAAGCCGCGTTCACCATTTTTTTTCACCTTGTCTCAGTGTTACATTTTGAATGCAAATACTCAGCAATTATACGCTCAGCTTCAAAGGTCGTGTGGCTAGGAGCCAGTACCACTATATTACTCTGCCACTAGGATCAACGTGACATTGGTTCGATGCCATACCGATTGGAATTGTTGTGCGCCGAAGGTTATCAAAAGAATAATGCAAATCCTAAAGAGTATTGATAGACTGAATGATAAATCAAAAAGGCGGAAGCTACTAATCGCGAAACGCTTGTAACAACTCCGAAAAACTGGGGTCATTCTCAACGCACTCAAAATGAAAATTTACATGAATATTATTTGGACATTATACAAAGTGGGATTACCTAAACTAAGAATGATTTAGTGCATATATGTTTTAACAGGTCACGTTAAGTTGCCTAGCATTATTTTGTGCTTACAAATAGAGGAGCGATCAATATTTCAGGAATGTTGACATTATGTTTAGTTTAATCTAGAAGGTGGTTTAATGTTTATGCATACATGCTGTTTGTATGAGTTGATTTCCGATCGCATCTGTACAAGTTGGGTAACCGCGGAAAAGAAGAATTTCAACTAGTGTTGCAGTTAGTTTGTTAAGTACGGTCTACTTAGTTACGAAGAGACTTTGTTGACCTCATGATTGCTTGAACGTAATAACTGTCCTACTCAATTTTATCATCTAATTCGGGTTTTGTGTTGTGTTCTTATGTATTTTTTTCAGTCAGCATTGAACTAGTCCACAAATGACAAACACATCTGAACTCCTTAATGAATGTCCACCAATCATGAATGATGAAGATATTCTTAATGACTGTGGACCTGTAGATATCCCTCCACCGCCTCCGTTAGCACAGTCTTTAGATGCTAATGGCCCAAGATTAATGATCACTCAAATTGTTACGGAAAATTTCAAATCTTATGGTGGTATGCGTGTTATGGGACCATTCCATAAAAATTTTAGTTGTATTATCGGTAGGTGGACATGTTTTATTGTGTGTAATGAAAAAATATAATTTCAGGCCCTAATGGAAGCGGTAAAAGTAATGTAATTGATTCAATGCTATTCGTGTTTGGTTATCGGGCATCAAAAGTTCGTTCGAAGAAAATTAGTCAACTTATACACTATAGTGAACTGGTACCTAATGCTAGTAGCTGTGAAGTGTCTGTACACTTTCAAAAAATTATTGATCATGGTCCTGGTGCTTTGGACTATGAAGTAAGTTTATATATGTATTTATTTATACCTTCAGTTATTCAGACTTTTTATTATCTCTCGTCGGATCATTGTATTTAAAGCTGCTCCATCCACTTTAGACTGGACATCTGTGTCGTGCCACTAATTCTTATATGCCAAAAGTTAGTACTACAACAAAATTAAGGTCTTGTGCTTATTATTATTAACACCGAAGTTATTTTCAACTTGCTACGACCACATTCTATAACGCGAAATAGCAATCAAAATGTTAGTGTAATAAAGGGATCCTTTAAAGACTACTACTTCTATGAATCCGGTGTTCATCTTACTGTTCTAAAGAGGTATGGGAACTTGGACCGATGCATATATGTGCCTGGTCCTACGTTGTAGCTGACTGACTGAATTAATGAAAGACTATACTTACATGTGGTTGCTCAAATTCTGGAAAAGTTAAGTTTCTGCGAAACCAAACTTGAACTCTTTTGTTTATTATAATTGTTTTGTGAAATGAAATGCTTTTCTTAGTCGCCTTCAGATACCTATCAATCAGTCATCTACAATGTAGGACCAGGCACATATATGCATAGGTCAAAGTTGCCACACCTCATTAGCACAACAAGATGAACACCAAACCTATTGAAGCGTTTACCTTAGTGATAATATGTAAAAAATTGCGTGTAAGGATATGATACAGGGAAAAAGAATTATTTTGTAGAAAGAAAGATATGAAGCGATTTTAATCTCACAGTTTAAGGGAAGACTGTGAGTGTATACACAGACGCCATTGTGATCGATTCTGAACCATGTGACACAGAGTCTAGAACCATTGGTTACGATAGTCACGTGGACTCCAACCAAGTAGTCTGCATCAACCAACATTGCTCAGACCAGAAGTTAGTGACTTCAAGGGCTGATGCCACGTTTTGGCTTGGTCGCCTCTAACTTTCTTCCGACCATCCCTACACTAGTCAGTATTGTGCGTCGTGGTAATCAGTGTTCAGGCATACGTAACACGTGGTCCAACCATCTCAGTAGATGAAGATTCACAACCTCATAAACTGATTTACTATCATCATTCCCTAATACCTTGTGTCTAACCTCACTATTACTTACCCAGTGATCCCAGCAGATGCGAGCAATATTTCTGAGACATCTGTGATCAAATACTAGTAACTTACGAATATCCTCTAGCTCTAATGGCGTTTCGCAGTCAGCCAAGCTTTGTTTTTCCATTCTTACGTATTTTGTAGCAAAAAGCATTTTCCAGTTGTTTCGTAGGAAGAAACTTATGCTTATATAAATACTTATAAATAATTACGTTCAGAGCAGTCATATTATCCTGTTTCATGAAAAAGGTATTGCTTTTTGTGATAGGTTGTTCCAAATAGTCAGTTTGTTATTTCACGACGAGCATACAAAGATAATTCAAGTTGCTATTTGGTTGATGGTACTCGAGCTGTTTATCGTGATGTGGCTAATCTTTTGCGCAGTCATGGCGTGGATATTGATCATAATCGATTCCTTATATTACAAGGCGAAGTGGAGCAAATTGCTTTGATGAAACCTAAAGCTCCAAGTGAACATGAGGATGGATTTCTTGAATACTTAGAGGTAAACTACTGTTCATATTTTTATTTTGTTTCTAATATGTTTAAATAACCACCCTCCTTCCAGCTAATAAAGTAAGGACACACAAACAGAACTATTTTGATCTACAACTAACAAATGCACTATAAACTTCTGTTTTTAATGATGACCTACGTATTATTCAAAGGTTCATATAAATTAACTACTAATAACTCTGCTTATTAGCTACATCTAAGCTTTTTAAATAAGCACGTGCTCACTAAATGATTTCTAGTGGTATAGACTGTTTCTGTTTGATTATAGATTTCGTTCTAAAAATGATTACTTTCGTTCTAGTCTTAGTCGTTTCTTGGACTGCATCTCATCTATCTTACCGTGTGACCGGCGGAAACTGTTAGCGGTACTAAGGAAGGTATATGTCCATTCTTTATGTAAAAATTTGTCGTTTTCAACGCGGGAATTTTCATAGTTAATGGCCCTTCTTATTTGTAATTCTGTCTTCACATCTTAAGAATTAACCAGATCATCTAGTAGATAATCTCTGTTCATCATGTGTTTCATAGCTTATGATAGCATAGGAAACTTTGGCTATGTTGTTAAGGTTCTTAACTCTGTATCAATAATCAAGAGTTCAATCCTTATTTCTACACATAGACTTCAAGAAGAGGTACGAACAAATGAACTAACAATGTTATGGTAAAGTGTGACGATAGGTCATGTGATTTGGATTAAATATATCTTCATGTTTTATTATAATTAAATTCCCATTAGTAGTAGTACCCCTAACATTTTCTTAATCATCCTTACATCATTATTTTAACTGACTACAAAATCTTTGAAATAACTTCATCATATGTATTAGTTTATGGAAAAGACGACAATAATATTGCAATGTAGATCGAAAAAATCAACGATACATATACTCGTCTGGATGATTCTAGATTATCCACCTCCTAGAACCCTTAAAATAACAGATTTTTAAGTCTCCACATTTTTGCCAGTTAAAAATTAGGGAATTCGTGGTCAAGATTAAGGGTCCATGAACTGACATCAAATGAAGTGTAAAGTATTCTATTTATATTAATAAATTGATTTTGAACAAAAAAAGATTATAGGAGCTATCTGATTAGTTCGTCCATAAAATACAGTACCACCACCAGGTTTCAAGTTAGGATTTAGAGGTGATGTCGATTAGCCTGTTGTGTACAATCTAAAGAAATAGAATAGACCACTTGATAGGTTTAACATTATCATTTATACTCCATGGTTGCAAAAACGTTTTTCTGCTCTGTCATTTTAAAAATTTTGAGTAGTATACGAAGACATTTTTATTTCCCATGATATATATGCTATTTGAATTCCGCACAAAAACATGAAAGTCGTGTCCTCCATCATGGTATGCTCTTTCCTATGCTATACTTCTATCATTACTGAAGCAATGATTATTTTATCATTATTATTAATAATGGCTTTATTCAATACTATATCTTCGGTATAATACAGAATTTTCAGCATAAATCATTTCAATAAGCTTCCTCTTATTTCTTGATCGATACTGACGAGATAAGTATTGAATGATCGTCAGTTAGATGTTAGCAGTTCAGGAATCGATATGTGAATAATGTTCATTCCTTTCAATGTATATTGCCAGCCATTACGATATTTCTGATTGTACTTTTTGTAAGTTATATAACGAAAGGCTGTAAACTTTTCATAAACGCCACCTGAATAGGTTGTGCGACTGATAGACATAATGATGTATTAAAACAAACAAATAAAAAGCAGATAACTTGTTGAAGGAGGAACAGATAGTCCAAATATTTAAGAGGGCCATTAACACCGTTGGATGCCGGCTTAGTGGTGTAGAGGTTGTGTTCGCGTGCAAGACGGAAGGTCCTGGGTTCGAATCCTGCGGGCCGGATTGTGGATGCACATTGCTGAGGAGCACCACAATAGGACAGAATGGCCGTCCAATGATTCCAGGTTCACGAGCTTAATCAAAACAAAAGATAATTTTAATCTGTTTTACCATTCATTTTGTTACTTTACATACAAGTCATCCCAATATTGTAGTACAACTGTAGTGGACAAGAACACGAGTGGGGACAATCGAATGTATTTGAGCACAAAATTACAGAATATCTCACTAAAATCTGAGAACCATATAGTCAATAGTTAATTTGCAAAATATCAATCCATCATCTCAAACTTGACTATTCCTTTCACAAAAAATCAATTCATTGTTCATGCATTTTCATACCAGTTGTGTTCCGTTCCGGTTGTTTCCTTCTCAATCTTCTATTGAAATACATTAATCTACCTGACCACCATTATATTATTTATTATTATTTCAACACATAAATATTGGTACAAGAGGGCACCAAATATATGTGCGCCACACCATATCTATGTGTGTGTGGTCTGTGATATTGCCCGGGTTCCCAGACCGAAGCAGGTGGTTATCTTAGGGCGCCACACCCCGAGCCTTTAACCTAATGGTCTGACCCACAAGGTAGTGGAGTATCGTGAGGAGATGCGTTCCCATGGTAGCCGGTGACCAACGATTGGTTCATACGCCATTTGTTCCCTCAGGATACTGGAGCTCATATGCACCATTGGTTTGGGATCTGGTTAAAGCGCCGGACATTCGCTTTTTGTCCTCTCATTTTCGTAGACAACATCCCCGCCACGAGAAGGCAGTGAGTAGGACTTCTCTGGCAGAGGCTATATACGCATGGCTGTGTGAGAGCATTTCGAGAGGGGGGCGGTCCCATCCCACTCTCGGCCATACCAGGGCATTCGGGGGCTACTACTACTCATATAGATATAAGTAACCCACACCATATAACAACAACTTGAACTAGATTACATATAGTATCTAAGCGTCTATGTGAATATTGACTGTGAACATAGACTATCAACAACTAAGTATCGTCTTTAAGATATTGTCTTACTTTTGAGATGATGATTTGTTTACTTGTTTTTTGTTGTTGTTTTCTTTCTTTTTTTCTTTATCACACACACACACAAAACAAACCGAATATTATATTTATTTTTTTTAATTTTTATATATTTATTATTATTATTATTATGATATAAAAGCTTTCAATTCATTTAGGATATAATTGGTTCATCACGATTTAAACAACCATTAAATATATTTATAAATCGTATTGAAAAATTAAATGATTTACGTTTGGAAAAACTTTCACGTGTAAAATTAATTGAAAAAGAAAAAGATGAATTAGAATCTGTACGTAATGAAGCAATGGATTATTTACGTTTAGTAAATCAATTAATTAAAATGAAAAATATATTATATCAACAAAATTTATTCAATGAATATCATTCTATTCAAATGATTAAAGAGAAATTAATGAATACACAAAAAGAAACTGAAGTAAGTAATGAATGAATGAATTGGTGTTATCATTATTAGTATTGTTGTTTGTTGATCATTTTATTTGTCAGTTCTCCTTACTGAAATATACTCTCACATGGTCGTGATCTTCTGATCGCTCTAAGCAACAATACAGGCATCTTCGGGATGCAAAATATTACTTCAGGATTGGGTTGCATTGACACTTGAACTAATGATAGGGAGTGAAGTAATTGAGCATGTCAACCGCTTCACTTATCTTGGAAGTCTCATCAGCCCTTGTGGTCTGGTGTGTGACGAAATCTCAGCACGGATACAGAAGGCTCGACTACCTTACTTTCGCCAACTTGCGTCATTTATGCGTAGGCGAGATATCCGTCTATCAACCAAAGGACGTGTTTACTGCTCAGCACTTCGTTCCGTCCTACTTTATGGCAGTGAAACATGGCCGGTAAGAGTAGAGGATATTCGTAGCTTACTAGTATTTGATCATAGGTGTCTTCGAAACATTGCTCGTATATCCTGGGACCATCGAGTAAATAATGCAGTTGTTAGGAAACGGGTACTAGGTAAGGATGGCAAATCAATTGATGAAGTGGTGAAACTTTATCAGTTGAGATGGCTTGGACACGTGTTACGTATGCGTTCGTGTGTGCCATTGATATGATCAATAGTACGCTTCGCTCCTATCTGCAGCCACGCACCACAACGGGTGGACTGCTGATTAGAGGGCAGCAGCGTATTTATCGATCGGATAGATGACACACACGAACTACCTAGAGTCCCGATTAGCCCTGCTTCGCTGTCTATCCCAGCCAGTTGAGTCCAGAACGCAAGTCTCAGCCTCTGAGTTATGAATCATTATATTTCAGACATACTCTGTTTATATACCAACCAAACTAACCACATCGTACCATAAAATAGAAAACAACATTTGTACGATATTTAACAAGTGAAATAAATATTGACCAACAGGGAATGTCCATTTAAAGTCCAAGGACACCATTAGACTTAACATGATAATTATTGGTATATTTTTCTGCACATCCTAACACCTCCCTTTTTTTGAAGATCCGGAGTTGATATCCGGATTTTAAATTTTTCCGCGTCCATCCTCCCCCGCGAAATAGTGTTGGGTCCTCATATCCCCAAGTTACAATTAATTCGACTTTGTTTAAAACATGTTTCTCGCATTGAATGTAGAATCCACTAGAAATGACTAGATGGTAATGAACAATTTTTGATTTGAGGTCAGAGTTGGGTTCTTCTGAAGCATTATTTTCAAATTCATTAAGAATCTCATCAGCGGATAATGAGTCATTAGGAAAATCAACATCGAGCAAAATTAAATTACATCTTTGACCATCATTTGACTCAGTCGATATATTTTCCTCATTTTTGTGAGAAATTTCATCACAATTATGTGCATTATTATCAGAACCCATATCTGGTACACCGTCATTAGAAACTGGATAAGTTGATTCAATATAAATTTCTGTTTCTTTGTGGACGGGTACTGCAATACATTTATGAGCATTTAATATGACATCGTCTTCCTGTGGTCTGGACAATCCAGTGTCTGTACATAGTGTTTCGGACGCAATGGGACTTAAGCCCACGACAGGGCATGTCTCTGAAACGGACATTTCTGGACCACTGGACGGATCATGAACGACTGCTTCGTTTGTTTTACTGCTCGTCAGGGATTCATAGAGGCTTTTATTGGCACACTCATACATTCTGCAGTCATTTTCCAGTTCAGTATGCAAATGAGAAATTAAGTCATCAAGTTCTGTCACATCTCCGAAACATGGGAGATTTAGCAGTTGTGTGCGTAAATTGTCCAAAACACTCAACTGGCTCTTCCTGAAACGCTGCTGTTGGCGGTCAAGTAGTAACTGCAATTGATCGTCGGGAGAGGTGACCATTTTCTGAATCAGCACAGTAATGAGAAATACCGTATGATCAACTAGCAACCGATGTCTCCCAAGGACACCGATGATAAATCTGGATGCTGATTGGTCAAATTAATTAGGCTGAATCTCGTCCAATTACAGGGTTCAAAATTCTTTCTACGCCGTCGCCAATTGTTGTAGCGTGTCGATTGCAGATTAGACGCGCAGCATTTATATCGATCGGATCAATGACACGTAAAACACGTAAGGACGACCTTAAGTCACGGTTGGCCCTGCTTCCCTGTCTAGCCCAGCCAGTTGAGTCCAGAACACAAGTCTCAGCCTCTGAGATAACATCTTCAAACCCTAATGTTTCCGATTACTGCTTATACTTTTACTATCTCTACCTCTACGGGATTTGAATGGACAACTGCATCGCTGTGCTAATGTGGTGTGGCAACTCGAACTGATGTACGTACGTACGAAGTTCTACGTTGTTACTGACTGACTGACTAACATGGTCATGTGCATATAATCACTGTCAGGAAAGTCCTACTCACTGCTTTCTCGCGATGGAGGTGTTGTTTGTTTACGAAATTGAGAGGATGAAAAGAGAATGTTCGGCGAGGGCTTTAACCGGATTGGTGAACACCAAGGGTTCACACAGGGGAGTTGGAAAACCCTGATTCCAAATCAATGGTGAACATGGGCTTCAGGATCTTAAAGGAACAAATGGCATGTTAATCAATTGTTGGTCACGAACTATTGTGGTACTGCATCTCCTAATGTTGTCCCACTGCTTTGTGGATTAGACCTTTAGATCGAATGCTTCGAGTGTGGCTCCCTAAGAAAACCACCTGTTTCGGTTTTGGCATCCGGGTAGTATCTCAGCGCTCACATAAATCGAATGATATATGTGGCGCATAACTATTTGGTGCTTCCTTCTACTAATATTTATGTGTTTAAATAAAGTCAATAAATCATCTTATTGTTACACAAATATTACTATGAAATATATCAATTATAATGTGTTGAATTCTGTTAATGATATAGTTGTATTATTTCTTAACCTTACGGAGACGTTTGACTTTGTTGATTGTGAGATTCTGTGGTAGTGTCTGTCATTGATAGGTAAACTAAAGAAATACAATAACCTTGTACAGGTTCTCTACTCGAACATCACTGGTCAAGTCAAAGCTTATAGCGAACTGTTATAGGAACTGCTTACTTCGAGTGGTGTTTGTCAGGGTTACTCGCTTTCGTCTTTTTTTATTTAGCTTTGTCATAGATATACTCTTAGAGATAATTTCGTCGTCTGACTTTTCTGTGGTTGATCCTTTACTAGGAGACTCATCTGTTGACGTGGAACACGCAGATGGTATAGTTCTGTTTGGTGAAGGCGCTGACAAATTACAGTCATCTGACCGCCTTACGCAACAATATAAGGATATTTGGGATGCTATCGTCTTCCTCAAAGTGTAAAATGTTTCTTTAAGATTGCTTTGCGTCAGCACTTGGATTAATGATGGAGTTTCTGATATCTGATGAAATCTCGGCACAGATTTAGAAGGCTTGATCGGCTTTAGCCTCCTTGCGTCATTTGTGGCGTAGGCGAGTTAACATGGCATCAGTTCATGAAGTCATTGGCAATTGATCTGAACCCTGTTAATAAGTATACACTATCTGTTTGGAGTTTACTTGATTATCGTAACCAGTGGTTAGAGACTTTTAATGACATCGCTCAAAATCGTTTACAATGGCTCAGGTGCATCCATTCATTGTCTTCTTCCAAATTCTGAATTCCTTAAAACTTTTTTTAAATTTCACTAACTTTTATATTCTTGAATCGTATCTTCGGTACCTAATCCTCTCTATTACCACTGATACTATTACTATCTCTACTATTCTGGGATTTGGCCTGTCAAATTCATCTTTCTTTGCAAAAGGGGTATAGCAACTTGAACCTACGTACATACATACCAGGTTCTACGTTGTGACCGACTATTGGTGATACACAAGTTTCCTGTATTCAAATCCACCTAGCTAATTTAAGTAAAACAAACCAGATTGAATAGGAGAAACGAGACTTAAAACTAATGGAGTATATCTATCTTCCTCTAGTCAAATCATGACTGACAATGTGCACCCACCAGCATTTCTCTCTTATCATTTGGCCTTAAACTGATGTTCATAATCGACCAAGCTTATCATCTTTAACCTCAGAAAAATATCTCTAGGTTATTGGATTCTACGGCAAGAATTTAGTTCTGTATCGATCATGATATACAAAACGTCTAGACCATATTAGGTTTGATAAGTTTTGAATTCATAGCTAAATAGTTAAAGCCGACAAAATTGACAAACTATGCATTTACTCCATTCATATTGTAATTATATATATCGAGAAATTGGTTTGAGGATAGGATTTTATGGAGATTGGTTTAATTTGTAGATAGTATTTTTCTCAAATCGATTTCCATCAAGGTATAATCAGATATTTTAGATTGATTTCAGTTAGAAATGTGTACTGTTGTATGATAACCTAGTGGTCTAATAATTATGTGCTCGCCATGAGACTTTAAGATGGTGAGTCCGACTTTCAAGAGAATTATGGATGCACACTTCTGTAGAGTCCTATTCTAGGATGATAAGTCCGTTCAGTAGTGCTTTGTAAATCTCAGTGATATCCCAACTGAGCTCACTTTGACGAATACAACCATGTTTCATAACTTTAGAATTGTTAAGTTCATCTGTTTACTTCAAACACTTATCATAATGTTATTCATTTAGTGCAAGTTAGTCGGCAGTTTATGTTATTTCTAGGACCATTTGATTTCATAGTTTTCAGCCTTAGCTGGGATATATTTATTAATATCCGATTTCTACAGGAAAATAACCTTTAATTGTTTTTGCTACTTCAATGGTTAAGTGCTCGATGTCTTGTGGGTAGGGCATTATTATTAGGTTCTAGGTCTTAGGTTTCCTGATAATTATGTTAGTCGAAAGAAATGTTTAGTATCTCCTTTTTCTGATAGTTTTTCAGAGGCAATTATCTAAGTTAATGAATTATTATTATTCACATTCATTTTTTATTGCAATGAGTTATAATTGTATTTTGTCACAAAGCTACGACGGTATTAACCACCGATGTTCTTCATGTTTTCACCTGTTTTTTAGAATTTATCAAGTCAGGTACGTGAAAAAACTCGACAAATTAAGCGATTAGAATCTGATCGTGATGAGCTTACTCAACGTCATGCTCAATTGCAAATAAGACATCGTGATGGGAAAGCAAAATTTGCTGAATTTGAAGCTCAAGATGGACAACTGCGTGATGAACATGCACATACAAAAACTTTAGCACGTCGTTTGGCTAAAGCAATTCAAGTAGAACGAACTAAGTTAGAAGAGTTAGAACGATTACCTGGAGAAGCAGATGCTCGTCGTGAAGCAATTAAGAAACAACTAGCGGAATTTGAAGAAGCTAAAAGAAACATGAAGAAGTTTATAAGGCAAGTTTCTTCATCAATTCTGTATAGGCTGGATATGAGTACCTTCAAGAATTGTTTTTTCTCAACCTAGAACTATTTTCTAGTTATAGTTGAAAACTACTAACCAATACTAACGTTTCTTTCTCTTCAAAGCGATCAGCCAAATACTCATGCATTTCAAGGAGGCAGTGTGTAAAGCTTTTCCAGTCTCATTATTTGTTTGTTATAATGCATCGTTACGTCTTTGTTGCTTCACAAAATTTCCACAGTCCCAGTGAAGTGTCTGATTGTTTCGTCAGTAGACATATCAATTTCCCGTTTTTTTGTAACTATGATCAGTCTACTTTTAAAATCTAATAATCTTTGATATTTGTAAGTCTCTGTTAAACACAGAACAAACCATACATGAACACTTGGAACTACAATCAGGGTTTGCAGTCAGCCAGTAAACTGGTTACTAAGAAAAAAGGTTGTTATCAGCAAAGTAATTTTAAACAAGTGTTTCTCAAATATACTTAGTTGGTCGTAGTCTGCCTCGTTATTCAGTCACAAATAAATCGGAAATTCCTCAGTATAGTAGTGGGATAACATTCTGAAGATCATGTTGAAACATAAAACCTTTCAAAGAATCATCAACTGTCAATCTTATTGAATCTTTTGACCTTTGTGATCAAGAGTGGGTATATGAAGTTAAAGGCTAACTGTTTTAGTCATAGTAAACATATTTGAAAGTGATAACGGGGTTTATTTGTTGGCAAGATGATCTCGGGTACTGTTTGATGTATGAAGAAAGTTATCATTTCCCAGCTCCCCCACACTGTGAGAGGATAATTATTGAGGGACTTGAAAAGAAAACTAGATTAATAGATGTCTTAAGGACCTAGAAGCGTGACCAAAAAGGCCATGGGACATTTGCTTAAGGCCGATCACACGCGCCTTTGTTGGGTGTTTTAGGAATAGTTAACCTCATCTTTAAAGCCCTTACTTCCTGAGACTAAAATCCATGGGTTAACGTGGGGTGTGACACGTGTAGGGCAAATCTTTTCTAATCTCTTCCATTGTGGGGAGGCTGCATTTCTGCGGACGTTATTCACCTTACTACCGTCGAACTCTTGTACGGTCGGCAGTATCATTTCACTTTCGCACCTCAGGTTGCTACTTTTAGTCTTATCTTTCACCAACTGATCTACTTAGCATGGTATAAGACATACAGTCAATGTAGCTCCATTGGGTCATCACGATTGGCAAGCTTGACTACCACATTTAGGTAACGGCTACGGAAAAATAGTCAACTTTTTAAATATACATGAATATCAAAGATCAGTTTATAACGTTCCTCATCCTTGGACATACTCAAATATAACTGTTCTAAAATTGTTGCTTTCTTTTCGGAAAACTATCTCAGAACTCATCATCCTTTATAAAACTTGCTTTTTATGACTAAACCAATCCCAGTTTTAGGACGGTTTTCTTTCTCTCTGTTTTCATAATTTCATGTGATATGATGTGATTGTTATATCAAATTGTTTATTGGTGTAGGAAACAGCTGATAATCTGTCTAAAGAATCTGCACCTTTACGAATTAAAGTTGAAGAAAGTGAATCCATGTTGGCTCCTTTACAAACAGAAGCTGATCAAATTACAAGTAAACTAACACTGGAGCGTCAACAATATGATCTTATGATGGCTGGCCAACGAAGAGAATTAGAACGTATGGAAACAGCAAAGAAAAGTATGCAATCAACTCAAAGTAAACTTAAAGAGAGAGAACAAGAATTAGCTGATGCAAAAAAACAATTATCATCTTCGGGAAGTGGAGGAAATAAAGGCAATTTAGAGATGGCATTAGCATCAGCTACACGTGATCTAGCTGAAGTGAAAACACATGAAGCTGATCTGACAAAAGAACTAAATGATTTACGTAGCAAGTTGACAGAGTCAAAATCAGCTCTTCAGGTAAAAAGAAAATTAAGACAGTTTTGATTGTGGTCACCATAAGTTGAATTATGATTCTCTGTTGTTGTTTTTCATAAACTGTATATAGTCGATAGAAATCGTAGTCGTGACTGAATATGACCAGTGTTGTAATCATATTCAAAGCATTGTGATTCTCAAATTGTCCAACTCTGGTTCATTAGTATGTGTTATAATATCGTTCATTAATATCAGTCATTATTTTCCTTTTCATGGCTCTGTTAGTAGTTTTAAAGGTGAGGCTATAATTTATGGAGCGACGCTACAGTACCTGCCTACTAACTAGGACTAAATGGGGTTTATAAACCAGCGCGAGCAGTTAGGATTATGATTTGCAGTTGATGGTTAGGGATTAAATTCAAGGTTTTCACCACCAACTGATATCAGCTATAATTCCAAAATGATGTTTAACCAAATGGATGGGAATGGATTTCGCGCCAAAATCCAAGACCTGATACCCTAAATCTGATTGGTTCATCCATAAATCATAGTCTCGCCGTTTTAAACTAAAAGCAAACTTTCAATCTCAGAATTTCGGTTTCCGACTGTTAACCATCATCATAGATTTTCTCATAATGAGCCTTGTATAGACATATTACGTAATAAATCTCGCGACCCTCCCATCTGGTTTCAATGTTGTTGTTCTCAATGGATCTCCATATTTTCAGCGTAGTCATCTATACGATGTAATTGTTTTCTCAACGAAGCACGTACTACTTATATTTATAAATTTGACTTGAGATGCCAATTCAAACTCTACTACAATCGTGTTTTAAATTTCATTAATGTAATTCATCTTACTATAAAAATACATACAAGTTGATCCGTTTAGATTTAAACTTAAGTTTTTGTGCTTTGGTACGACCGAGGGTGGTGAGAGTCAGTTCTTCCTCTCAAAATGCTCTCACATGATCAAGCGTTTACAACCACTGTCAGGGAAGTTCTACTCACTTCCACAAGTCATTCCTTCCTTATTCTTTTGATTGATATCCTCGTTTTCTTATATGATCAAGTTTTACCATGCTCATGTTATACAACATCTAACAAATTTATTTTCAAATGATCATTTTCATTAAAATGTTATAAAGATCATTGACCGGCTACACTATGTGTCACACATACTATAGTGTTATACTGATCATTTCGAAATATCAATAGTTTTATATTGTCGTTGACCTTGTTCTCCCTTGTGTTCAATATTTTCTTTGTTGTTTTTTTCTTGCAAACAGGCGGATAATTCAAGAAATCGTATGTTGAATGCTCTACTTGAAGCAAAACGTTCCGGAACATTGACTGGAATTCTTGGTAGACTTGGTGATTTAGGTGCAATTCCATCACGTTATGATATTGCAATTTCAACAGCATGTGGAGCTTTAGATCATATTGTCACAGATACCATGGATACAGCTCAAAAAGCGGTGAATTTTCTGAAACAAAATAATCTAGGACAAACTACTTTTATAGGTAATACTGATTGATTGCTTGAAATTCTTGATAGTTTACTTAATATTTATTTATTTGAACACACAAGCATTGGTAGAAGGAGAAAACAAATATATATGCACCACATAAATCATTCAATTTGTGTGAGCTTGGATATTGGTCAGGCGCCCAAACCTAAGCAGGTGGTTTTCTTAAGGGGCCACACCCGAAGCCTTTAATCCACAAGACAGTGGAACGACGTCAGGAAATGCAGTCCAATGGTTGTCGGTGACCAGCAATTAGTTCATATGCCATTTGTTCCTTCGGGATTCTGTAGCCCATGTTTCACCATTGGTTTGGAACCAAGGCTTTCAACTCTTCTAGATTGGGGTCCTCTATATCCACTAACCCGGCTAAAGCGTTGAGGAATCGCTTTTCGTCCTCTCAATTTCGTAAACAACACTCCTGGTGCGACAACGGAGTGAGTAGAACTTCCCTGACAGTGACTGTATACGTATAGCCATGTATATAGGCGTTGTTTTATCACACTCCTCCTGTTAGTTTAGTAACCATTCAATGATCAAGGTTATTTTATTTGCTAAATATAATATAGGTTTATTTACACAGTCTGTCTAGACTCTATTTTCAATAATTTTTTCGTTAATATTTAATCACTAACTGGTATCTCAGTCGTATTTTATTACTATTTGTAATGGTATAACGTCTAGTTCATAGTAGTGGGCGTAAGGAGTTTGGAAAATCCGTCATTTCATAGTAACGACTTCAAAACAATTTTTGTTCAGACAATAGATTCTCGCTTTACATGATGATTTATTGTTCAGTATTATAGGTAGGTACCTGTATTTTGAAACTGTGAAAACTACTACGTTCAGTATATTATCTAAATAATCGTGTCGCAGAAAGTATATAAAAGGTTCCCATACTATGATAAATTATTTAGGTCTGTATTATGTAACCTCTGTCTATTGAATTGCAATTCCAATCCCTCCCCTGTATTAGATTTAATGGAATAACATATTCAACATTGATCAAAGTCAGAAGACTTTCTTAGCTTCTTGGAATGTTCATATATGAATATACATGAATAATAAATATTTCCATAATATAGAATAATTAACTTAGGCTAAGAAAAACTCACATTAAGATGACCAACTCATTGATTAAAACAGTCACTTCTCAACACATATGCACAAAAAATCTAAAACAATTGACTATGATCAGACAGATCCAAAGTGTACATCATCAAACACTAAAAGAACCGAGTTAGTTCACGACTAATCGATAAAATACAAGAAATTACTACGAAAGTATATGATTGAAAAAGAAACTGGTCACTAATGTGTAATACAGTATGTACTGCACACATCTCACACTATTCGCATTATGGTGGTGTTAGTTACTTACACCTGTTACTCTCAATGGAGCGTAGGCCGCCGACCAGCATTCTCCAACCCACTCTGTCCTGGGCCTTCTTTTCTAGCTAGTATCATAAGAATATTTCATTCATACTTTCGATCTTATCTCATTAAAGCTGAACCGAATCATCAATTAACATGGTTGTGTTAGAAAGATTTCTCTGTAAAAATGTGTCGATTCTATTTGGCTGATGTTCAGATAACTTGTAATTGTACACCGAATGATTATTATCATTATCGATACGTAAAAGTAAATTATTCTTTTGAGCTATTAAGAAAAGGGTAGATGAATGGGCTTCAGTTAGTCAGACGTAGTTATATAAAAGTATAAAAAGAATAAATTAAACAGAAATTGCGTAAAATTGTAATTCCATTGGAATCATGGACTGATCTAAGTTAGACAATTATTGAAAATCTGGATGCCTATTTCGTCCCAGTGTATTGCTTTTCAGCAGAGTGCATCCACAACCATGTGACAGGGAGTCGAACCCAGGGCTTAACCTTCAGATCAAATGTAGTGGGTTCGATTTCCATTCGCAAGGTCGTGGGTTCACACTGCTTAAGAGTCCCATAATAGGATAAGAACGTTCGTCTAGCGGTCGTCTAACTTATTTTGGTTCGTGATTCCAATAAAATTTAACAATCTCCATAATCCCATGCTTGTAAAGTTGTGCTAATCATTTTCATGCGAAAAATTTAAAATGTACGCTCTTGGTCGACGTCACCCAGTCATAATCTACACAGAGTCTAACAGATATGTACTCTAGCTTAGGTTGTCATGTCATATCTGCACAATGAGATTGGAAATGATAGGGTGAGTAGCGAAGGAATCGAAGTGATATAGTAGAAGCAGTAATGAGAAAGAGTAAGTATTGAGAAAATAATTCAAAAGACAAAATGAAAAGATACTTTTGTAGGAATACTGGCGCTTAAGATCTAGAGGAAGATAAAATGTAAATTCATCTAGATGTGAATAATATCACCCGTATCCAACCACTAATCGCAGTTATCGCGCGAATTTTAACTAGATTGTCTGCATCTCTATTTACACGGCTTAGACCAATAGTCAGTGACTTCATGAAATGCTGTCTCACTTTAATTTGACGATCCCTGTTTCTTCCAGTAAACTCATACTGACCAACATTCCCCATCGAGGTAGATGATTGTTGAACATATCCTTACTACTTCAACCAGTGAAAATTCACAACTTCATCAATTGATTGATTCGCCATCAAAAATATTTGTACGTATTGATAACCTTATGTAATTTGACGACCAATTAACACTTAAGACATATTTCACTATTAAATCTACGTTCATTAATTTAGTTCTTTATCATTTTAAGAGAACATTTTCTCTAGGATTAACTGTGTTTTATGTATTTATTTTCCAGCTCTGGATAAAATGAAAAAATGGGCGGAAAAATCTTCAGTTCCATTTAATATGCCTAAAGTATCATTTCAAGTGGAACGTTTATACGATTTAATTCAAACAGTTGATTCCAATGTGAAACCAGCATTTTATTTCGCTTTAAGAGATACTTTAGTAACAGAAAATTTAAATGCAGCTACAAAAGTTGCTTTTGGTCAACAACAACGTTATCGCGTTGTTACTCTTCAGGTAAGATTTCATTTATCTATGCAGTTTTTTTTGTAATTTTCAAGATCTAATCTGATATGTTTTCGTTACCTTCTACTCACTCACCTACTACAAAGTGTGTTCAACAACAGGTCTTTAGTGATTGCCAGGCTGATCCTGGATAAGTAGATATATTTTTGGATTAGTGATTGTATTCCAAAATATTATAGGTACAAGTACTTGTTTCTAAGTTTAATCAATTTTAAACATAAACATTGAAACTAATTGCCTTGTTGACCATTGACGAATTTCATGGATACATCATATTTTTATTATCTTTGTAGAAGATACTTAGGATAATCCATGTTCTTTTCACAGTTTTCGCTTCCAAAATGAGATTTTTGTTGACGGAGAAGTCAGTTAGACCGTTTATCAATGTGTGAGAGCGACTAGGACCTTGATTTGGTTTAAAGAAGTACTCAGTTTACTGTATAGGCCAGTGGTAACGACTCTAACATGTTATAGATCAATTTAGTGAATTTCTGGATTCTATCAAACTTAATGAATGAATGGTTGGAAGCTCACTCCGACTAACTATGAATAGACGAACTCAGTGAAATCTAATGATCATTATTTTGATGGTCGGAAATACTGGTTAGATTGACAGAAGTGGATAGTACCCTCAATTTCCTACAGTATTCATGCAAAACATTTCCTGACCTTAGGATGACTGAGTGGAAGAGCTTGGAGAGTCAATTAATGCATAACATCGTAAAATGAAATAAAATTTGTTTTATTTAGTATGTGTTGTTACTAACATCATGACTCCCCGTACATTGTACAATTCAGTGTCTACATATGTTATCAAACAGCGTGATGTATAACCGGTGATTGCATAACAATAGAAATAGTAAATATTCACTGTAGTAATAAGCAAGGTTTGGTATAAAGAAAGACCGATTTCAAGGTTCAGGATCTAAGGGAAGACAATGGTTAAGTGCAACTACACCGTTTCGAACAATTGTGAGTCGTGTCATTCAAATTCTTTAAATACTTGTAACAATCACACGGACGCTAACTAGGTAGTCTGCATCTATCTACGTCGTTCAATCTAATTACCAATTACTTTTTGAACTGGTACCATGTCTTGGTTTGGGAACATCTAGCTTTCTTCCATCTCACTCCTACAGTATACTGTATTCACAGAATGAACGTAAATCATATTAATTGTTTTCTACTTGCATTGTGTTCTTTAACACATCTATTTTATTATTTACCCTCTTGTTCCACAAAACCAACATCCCGTATATTTTGTATATCACTTGAATATCTTGATCCACAGTGTTGTACATTAAGTGTTTATAGGTTATCACCAAAATTCTTTCAACTGGTTTTTTTTAGATTACTCAAATAATGCTTAGCATGATAATGGGAACTTAATCAAGAGTGAGATTACTAGTCATTACTTCCAATCAATGTACTGTAAATACTCCCGATACACTTTACAGTTAATAGGTTTTTCATATCTTTCTGAGCAATTAAGCCGTTTGACTTTCTTGAACCAAGTCCGGGGTTCGAACTTTGTTCTGCTTACTTCGTTTCGGGCGATCTGATAAGTATCTTTAGCCCTTACACTAGTCGATTGTGGCCCATACCCAAGTAGCTAGTGAAAAATGAGTTTATTAATTGGCTACTTGTTATTGAATATTTGTAAAGTATGCTGTTTTGTTTTTTTCTATCTCGACTTCTTTCCTTTTTTAGGGACAAGTTATTGAAGTATCTGGTGCAATGTCAGGTGGTGGAGGTCGTCCACTTTCAGGTAGAATAATGGCAGATATTGTACAAGTGAAAAAACTTCATGAAGCCAATTATAGTTGCGAATCTAGACACAAACGACTATCAACCGATAGTTCCAAAGAAACAAGCGATCTATCTGCATTAGAACGTCAATTAACTCAAGGGGATGCTGAACTTGGTCGTTTACGTGACACTCGATCACGTTTGGAAGAAATGATTGTACGTATGACTCGTCAACGTGATGAATCCGAGCGTACAATTAAACGGTGTGAAGTAAGTTGTTCACTCGTAAATTCTGAGATAATCAAACTCTTTCTCTGTGTGAAGCGTCTTTCATGTTTTCTGATATGTACTTTTACTTCTGAATACTGTAATAAGTAACTCATTCGTAAGTGTGTCTTCCCGTTGTTGATGTTAATATCTACGATTGATCAGTCTCTTTTGATCTCATTTACATCTTGAACGGATTACCTCTATATTGCCATTTAGTCTCATGTTTTGTGAAGTAGTTAGATAGTAGTTAGCAGTGGAATCCGAGATTCACCTTTCGTTCTTTTTGGGACTCGTCAAATGAGTGTGCTTACATTCGACTGTTGATGTTCACACCGTTACTCAAACCCAATACCTTTTCTCTAAACTCTCAGTACGTTACTCCGCTGAACTACAGAGTCCAGATTAATAGCCAGCTGCTTGATTAATAGCATTTGTTAACACAAGAAATGGGGAAATATATACACTTACAAATCAATTGAAAGTGATTTGGATTATCCCGTTGATATTTTAACTGAAGTTTCATCAGTCTTGGAGTCCAAATCAACTCTTGGATACAAGTACATTCAGCTAATGATTCCGAAATAAAACGTCCGGGATTCCACTGCTAACCACATTTCATTTATTCTATATTTCAAATTCAAATTCATAGACGTCGCGGAATGAATAATTGAAATTTCATGTCGGTAATAGTACAGCTGTATTTGAAAGATGAAGCGGGAAACTGGTCTTGATGAAAATTGTGGACTATGCGAAATCCATCGAAATGACCACTATTTACCTCCCAAATGCCCTGATACGGCCAATGTTGAGGAGATTTCGCCCTCCCTCTCGGAATGCTCTCATATGGTCACACGTTTAGAGCCATTGCCTGGAAAGTCGTACTCATTGTCATCTCGAGGAGAGGTTGTTATTTACCAAATCGAGAGGAAAAAATCCGATGTCCGGTGGGGTTAGTGTGCACAAAGGATCCACTTTGGACGGTCGAAAAATCCTGATTTCAAACGAGTGGTGCACATGGGTCCCAGGATTCCGAAGGAACAAATGGCGTATAAACCCATTGTTAGCCATCAGCTACCATGAGACCGCATCTAACGTTGATGCACTGTCATGTGGATTAGACTTCTTAGTCGATAGATCAGGGAGTGGTCCATTAAGAAAGACACCTACTTTGGTTTGAGCACTCGGGTAGTATTCCAGTCCGCACACAAAACATTATGTGGCGCATATATATTTTGGTGCCAATGGTAATGTGTTTATATAACTAAACAAATCACTGCTTTATCAATGTCGCTACCTACGTAAGGATTTCGTCTGCTTTCTTTAACAGAGATGACATCGACAAGCATTAATTAATTGATTGATGAGTCAGTGACTTACAAAATTGATTTCCTCCAAACACCTATGATATTTTATCACGTTTATTCTCTCTTAATATTTTGTATATAAGATTGTTGTGTTTATTAGGGTCATAAGAAGTTGTTTCTCGACTAAAATGTCTTGTTGGTATGACTATAATTCATGGACGTCCTTTGAGTGACCTTGAGAATGTCCACCTAATTACCAGATGGTTATAAACCAGTGTGAGAAGTCGGGATTATGATTTTTAGTTGGTGATTATAGTTAGGAATTAGATTTAGGGTTTTCATCACGAACTGACATAAGTTATATCTACAAAAATGTTATTTAGGCAAATGGATGAATGAATTTCGCGCCAAAATCCAAGACCAGCTATCCTAAAGCTGATTGGTATGTCCATCAATTATGGTCTCACCGGTTTTGTCTTTGATATCACTCCATTCCAATGTTTAAGTAAACAACCACCACTCGACCACATTTTATCCTGTTGCGTATATCTTTATCGATATCTATTCTATTTATCCATTTTAGCTGAAGTCAATTCTCCGATATAACACAAATCGTATAATGAATTTGTTCCATTCAAGTACCATTACATGGTGGAAATCTGTATACTTGTTATGATGTAATAAATTATTTTCTGTAGCGTTAAATATTTCACTTCAAATTGAGATCACGAATGAATCAATGTTAGAATACCATTGAAAGTCTGAAAGTTCTAGTATGGGACTCGTCAGCACTGCAAATCCACGATCCCGCGCTCGTGATTCAAAACCAGGATCTTCGGTCTCGGCCGTTTAGTACTTCCAGGTTTTCAATGGTGGTTTAGCATTGATCGATTTATGATCTCAATCCCGGCTACCATGGTACTGCATCTCCTAACGTTGTTCCATTGCCTTGTGGATTAGACCTTTGGGTCGAATGCTCCAGGTGTGGCCCCCTAATAAAACCACCTGCTTCGGTTTGGGCACTCGGTCAGTATCACAGTCCTTACATAAACCAAATGAGATTTGTGTGTCGCATGTGTATGTGGTACCCCCTTGTACCAATATCTATGTGTTTAATTTGTTCTATTTACCTACTTATTTGAACACATAGATATTGTACAAGGAGGCACCAAATACATATGCGTCACTCGATTAGTGTGTGGGCTGTTATACTGCCCAGGTGCCCAGACCGAAACAGGTGGTTTTCTTAGGGAGCCACACCCCGAGCCTTCGACCTAAAGGTCTGATGCACAAGGTAGTGGAGCGGGGCCGTGTTAGAGCATTTCAAGAGGGTGAGCGGAATCTCGGCCGTACCAGGGCATTTAGGGGCTTTAATCTGTTCACTATTTCAATTCATTCAAAAAATACTAATAATAATAATTCTTTTCTTTCTAAAGAATGAATGTGTTCACTTACGTGTTGAATTGAAAGCATTAACAGATGAAGTTAAACAATCTGAAGAACGTGTCAAATCAATAGGACCATCCGATATTGAACGTAAAAAATTTGAAAAACAATTAGAAAAACTTGAACATTTAACACAACAAAAATGTTCGATTGCCGCGAAAAAACGTGAAGAATTAGAAATTTTAAAAAATCAATTATTAAATTTTGGTTCAGATCGACTAGCTACTGTAAGAACTCGTCTTGATATTATGGAAAAGAAAATAAAAGATGTAAGTTTCTTTGTGAGTGTTTTTTTTAAAAAAAAGATTTATTCAACTGAAATCATCTGACTGACTGATTGAATTCATCACAAATTGGTAGCTAAATACGTACTAGCTACTTACTTACGCCTGTTACTCCTAATGGAGCATAGGCCGCCGACCAGCATTCTCCAACTCACTCTGTCCTCGGCCTTCCTTTCTAGTTCTATCCAATTTTCGTTCTTTTTTCTCATGTCTATCTCCATTTCTCGGAGTAATGTGTTCTTTGGTCTTCATCTTCTCTTTTGACCCTGAGGATTCCATGTGAAGAGTTGCTTTGTGAGGCAGTTGGGTGCTTTCCTCAATGTGTATCCTTTCCACTTCCAGCGCTTCTTCCTGATTTCTTCCTCCACTGGGATCTGGTTTGTTCTTTCCCACAGTAGTGTCCGGCCAATGGATCTGAAGTATTTTGCGTAGACAACTGTTAATAAACACTTGTATCTTCTGGATGATGGCTTTCGTAGTTCTCCAGGTTTCTGCCCCATACAGTAGAATTGTCTTGACATTTGTATTGAAAATCCTGACCTTGGTGTTGGTTGACAGTTGCTTGGAGTTCCAGATGTTCTTCAGTTGTAAATATACTGTTCTTGCTTTACCGATCCGTGCTTTCACATCTGCATCCGATCCACCATGTTCATCAATGATGCTGCCGAAATATGTAAAGGTTTTTACATCTAAATAGTCAATAGTTATTATGATTATCTGTGTTCAACAATTGTATGGCTTTGAATAGACAATAATTTGAATTGGTGTTGAGTATATCCAGAATATTGTTGGAAAAAAAGCTCTAACGGGTCCTAAGATCACTGAGAAATAGTTTAGTCAGTCAGTAGCAATAAATAGAAGTTTTTTTAGAAATATCTAGGAAATGATTAGATGACTACCTATCCTCCAGCTATTCTTAGTAGGGTTCCAGAAACCTTAGGTCATCTGAACTGCTGCTATAGATATCCTCGACTTTCTGTACATGAACTAACATTAGACGTAAAGCGTTCTTTTCACACTTCATGCCTTCTCTCCCATGAGCATGTTGGGTGAATTTAGCCTGAGGTTGTTAGAAAAGTTTAGGAAACCAATTCAAATGTTCAGTCAGAAGATTTATCCATTGGTACATAAGGTCGCTGATTAGTTCCTTTCCAAATGATGGAAATCATTTGTCTTCGGATTCGCAATTGTTTATACTCACCAAAGAAAAAAAATACTATAATCTCTCTAATCCAAAAAGTGGAATTCTTTGTTTTCTGATTAACAATAGTTGAACAAAAGAAAAAATTGATATTCAACAGGGTGACCTCAAGTTTTCCTGAGATTGTTTAAGTGGTTTCTACATCACACAACATTATTTCTTTTCATACAACAGAAGTAATTTTGAATTTAATCTATTCAAACAGTTGTCAAAAGGTTGATCAAAAAGACTATTAAAATATTCGTTTTCAGCATAGCATGATTGAGTTTTGACTTTCAAAGTCTCACAATTGTTGCCAAACACTGTTCTGCTTCATCTATTCGAAATGTATGATGATGGTTGATGTAACAGTCGGTTGGGAAAATGCTATTAGCGGACAAAATCAAGACATGGCATTAATCCATAAAGAATTACTATTGAATTGAGCCATGTAGGTTGGTGCAGACTACTTGGCTGACGTTCGTATAATTATTGTAACTAATGATCAGAAACTTTGGGTAGCGTTGCTCAAAATCATTGTACATATTTGTTAGATCTCAGCACGGATTCAAAAAGGTCGTTTGGCTTTTACCAACTTACGCCACCTATGGCGAAGGCGAGATATCCGTCTATCAATAAAAGGACCAGTATACTGCGCGGCAGTTCGCTCTGTTTTACTTTACGGCTGCAAAACGTAGCCATTAAGAGTTGAAGATACTCGTAAGCTACTAGTATTTGACCACAAATGTCTTAGAAATATTGCTCGCATCTGTTGGGATCACCGGGTAAGTGGTAGTGAGGTTAGACACAGGGTATTAGGGAATGATGGTAAATCAGTTGATGAGGTTGTAAATCTTCATCTACTGAGACGGTTGAACCACGTGTTACGTATGCCTGAACACTGATTACCACGACGCACAATGCTGTAGTGATCGTTGGAAGAAAGTTGGAGGCGACCATGCTGAAAAGTGGCATTAGTCCTTGAAGTCACTAACTTCTGGTCTGAGCAATGTTGGTTGATGCAGACTACTTGGTTGGAATTCACGTGACTATCGTAACAAATGGTTGGAGACTGGGTGACATGGCTCAGAATCGATCACAATGGCGTCTGTGTATACACTAACTGTCTTCCCTTAAACTGTGAGATTAAAATCGCTTCTTATCTTTCTACGAACTAATTCTTTCTTCCTGTACTATGTTCTTATATGTAATCCTTCTTTTATATATTGCCACCATTGAATTAACTACTATGAATCTGGTGTTCATCTTGTTGTGCTAATGCGTTATGGTAACTTGGACCGATGCATATATGTGTCTGATCTTACGTTGTAGCCCACTGACTGAGATTTTGATGTTGTTCACAACTGAAACTGATCTAACTCCATTTGACAATTTGAAATTAATCCATGAATCTGTTAACAACTCTCTGAGAAAACCATTTTACTTTTGTTACACACAGTGTGGTACATTCAGTCACTCTGCAACCTGAAAGTTGCTTTACTTTAGTTATGCCATCTAATAAGATCTCAAATAACTGATATTCTCGTCAAAATTCTACTGGTTAGTCATTATGATAATATACAATGTCCATTTAACAGTTCATATACATTTACATACCTTGTAACATTCTTGATTTGTCCAACCACTAGTCTTAACTCAATATACAACGAAAGAGTTGTCTCAATCTAGTTTACGGATAAGATCCAGTATGTCCCTTAGTAACGACCTTGAAATGTTTACTTATACTTTAGTTTATAGATGAGATAAGAAATTATCCCACTATTGATCTGATTAGTTGTCAAATGGAGAAAGTAAATGATTTAAATGGAACAGTATATATATAGCATTTCAGATGACCTTAGACACCTGGAACCCTACTAAACATAGCCGGAGGATAGGTAGGTAGTCAGTCATCTAATCATTTCCTAGATAATTCTGAAAAAAACTTCTATTGTTACTACGTGGCTAAACTGTTTCTCACTGTTCCGGGACTCGTTAGAGCTTTTTTTTTTTTTCTTCCAAGAATATTCAATTGGTTCCCTAATTCAACTCACACTTTACCGACATTATTATTCTCCTTAACATTTATATAATTGTAATTGTTTCTTCTTTTTCTCTTTCTGGTCTTTTTTATAGACAAATGATGAATTAACTAAATTAGAAGTTAGTTTAAAAACGGTTACACGTAATCAACAAAAATCTATGGATAAATTAAAAAATATGGAAAATGAAGCAGAATTATTAAAAACAAAATTAATGAATATTGATAATAAATTAAAACAATTAGAAGATGATGCACGTGCTTGTATGTTAGATTATCAAAATATTCAAAATGAAGTAAGTTATTTTAATGTAGTCACATTAATGTTGTTACTATGGCTACTAATAATGATAACAATGTGTGTGTGTGTGTTATGTTTTTAACTCTACAGTTGACTCTGAAATCCGTAATTGAATAATTTCAATGATTTAAACGGTCTATAATTGTTTCTATGGGGTCACAAGGTAGTTTTTGTACTAGAAGAATTATGAAGTAGCATAAGTGAAGAGTTGGGTTGTGACAACACAGCAAGCGCTTATACAATGCATTTACATGTATTAGAGAAAGCAATTGATAATGAACAGAAATAACACAAGTGTCAGATGAACATAAATTGGAAATCGAAACTAGAATCAAATGTTTTAACTCGCTACAGAACACACTTACGAACTCCTTCCTATCTCACTACATTTGGCTAGAAATATGAGTATTTAAAACAGTGAATTAATACTAGTGTGTTTGGTTTATCTTATGTACACCGTCCGTATGCCTATCGTGTTGTATACATAATCTACCTAATTTCATATATCAAAATTTGATGAATTTAATACATTGTGTAACTTGATTATCCTAGGTCCAGCTTAAAATTAAACACACAACTGTTTCATTAAAACAAGAAAGTTAGTTTCTCTTTTATTTAAATGTAATTTTAGTGACTTACTCTGCGGTCAACAAGAGATCCTGATCGACCTAGGTTTCGTGCTAGTTGAGGCTCGCCAACAAGTTTTACTTGTAATTTGGAGGGGATTGATACTCTTTGTAGGATTCGAATTGGCATCAGTAAACAAACTAAGATTTTGACAAAATAAAATAAAACTGATTGATTATTGAGTAGTGATGAATATCATGTTTGACTAGTCTTTTAGTGAATAATAGATTACGATCATTCTAAAAGACCAGACAAGCATAATATTGGTCACTATTTAGTAATCACTCAATCGCACTTAATCTGTTTAAATTTGTTTATTTATTTGAACACATAAACATTGGTGCGAGGAGGCACCAGATACATATGCGACACAAAAAAAACAGTCCAGTAGCAGTTATCATTCATTAGTATGAGGTCTGTGATACTGACCGGGTGAGCAAACGGAAACAGGTGGTTTTCTTAGGGGGCCACACCCCAAACCTTCGACTTAAAGGTCTAATCCACAAGGCAGCGGAACAACGTCAAGAGATTCAGTCCCATGGTAGCCGGTGACCAGCAATTGGTTCATACACCAATTGTTCAATCAGGATCCCGGAGCCCATGTTCACCATTGATTTGGAATCAAGGTTTTCTAACTCCCTTAAGTGGATCCTCTATATTCACCAACTCGGTTAAAGCGTTGAGGGTTCGCTTTTCTTCCTCTCAATTTCGTAAACAACACCCCTAGTGCGATAACGGAATGATTAGGACTTCGTTGGCAGTGGTTGTATACGCGTGGCCATATGAGAGCATTTGGAATGAGTGAGCTGACTCTCCCCACCTTCGATCGCAACAAGGCATTTGAGGCTAACCTGTTTAAAAGGCTAGTTTATTTACTCATTTCCATTTAAGAGAGATATCAAGTATAATTGACAGAAGTTTTGCCGATTACCTGCAAAAGTTAAGTGAATATATTCGCCAATCGTTTCAATGGATTTTTCAAAGTGATTAGGACAATAGAGTCGGTCAATCGATTTATAAGCAACGTACTACTTGACATCTATGTTCAAGTTGCTGTAACACTATTTATTGTGTTATTATTATTATTATTATTATTAATAGGTTGAAGAATTACAAAAACTTAAAGAAAAGTGTCAAACTGAATTAACTGAAGCAGAAAATGCTTTAGCAACGGTACAAAAGGCTGAAAATTCATCTCGTCGTTTAATTACTCAATTTGAAAGTGAATTAACTCAAGCTACAACCAATGCTCGTCATTGGGAACGTGAACTTAGAGGTCTTCGATTACATCGTATTGACGATGATGATGATGAAGAAGAAGAAGAAAAAGGAAAAGAGGGATTAGAGGTTGTAATAGGGGAGGAAAATGTAACAGTATCATCAATTTCTCAAGATGTTTCTCAATCGATTGTTAGAGATTCACCAGTTCATTTGAATGATGAAAAATCACCAACCTTACAACTGAATGAACAACAACGAATCAATAGAAAAGCTGATCGTGAAACTAAGAATCTTCCGAAATTCACAGATGAGGAATTGCAAAGTAAATAATGATTGATTTAATTCGAGTTAATGGTCTAGTACTACTCTTCACTGTCATTAAAATTGATTACTTCACCATCTTGTATATTCACAGTTAATTTATAGTCTTGTTAGATTCCCTTTCTTCAGTGAGTTTGTTTTCACTAAGTGCAACAACTCTCCCTATTTCTAGTGCATTTTAGGATCTAAGGTGGTTGGAGATAGTTGATTTCGGTTTTGTGACACTTTGCACTTGTCATCGAGGCTATCGACGAGAGATCTCTCTGCTTCTTTATCTTGGGTTCTAGTTTCCGGTTGTTGCCAAGTGGGACTCCGAGTCTTGATGTCTACCTTCAATTTCCAGTGCCATATGTTCTTTAATCTACCTATTCCTTCTCCCTGTGATGCAGTTTAATGATTTTTGTGAACAATCCACCTGAAACGTCTTTTCATGAGTTCCGTTTTAGTTGAAAGCTGGTTTGTTCTCTCGCAGAGGTAAATTATTCCCGACGGTCTCTGATCAATGTTTCTGGAGTATTTTTTGTAGACAATTGTTTATAAATACCTATACTTTATCAACGTTGACTGTGGTAGCTTGTTTCGTATTCCAGATATTCTTCAACTGTAGGAATGTTGGTTTTGCTTCATTAATTCGTGCCTTCATGTCTGCATCGGACTGTACCTATTTATCAAAAACGTTGTCCAGGTACGTAAAAGCTTTCACTTCTTCGTGAGCTTCGCCATCTATCGCCTGTGATCTGTTTCCGGATCTCTGATCTGTTTTCCCTTGTGCAAGTCTAAGCTTACTTCTACGCTGACTGTCTTCATCTGAATTCGTTTCTGTGAATACGTTAGCAGGGTTAAGCCATTTGCGGAGTCCAAATCATCCAGTTGCATCTAAGACATATATTACTTTTTCCTAGATATAGAAACTTACGTAATCCAGTCAACACCTAGCCGAAAGAGAAAAAAGTAAGGTAACCTTGTTCGACAACAGTCTTGGAACCCATCTGTGAACTGCCCTTTGTGCAACACTTTGCAGTTTATTTCCTCTTACGAGTTCGAAATAGCGGTGACGATCTTCTCCGGTAATTCGTAGTGTCAAAAACGTTTTTTTTATTTTTTCATTATCAAAGAAGTTTATGTATAGTGATGAGTTCCATTCAGTTGACTGTACAACAATGATCCATAGTATCGCAAATCGTTCGGCACACGATCATGGAATTAATTGTATGGAACAGCTGTGCAGCTTTATTATCACTATTATTAAAAAAAAGGAATCTTCATTCATATTATGATTGATCTCTTTTTCCTTTGTTTCTAAATTTGTAGATCTTCATGCTGATCTAAATGAAATGAAACACTTGGAAGAGCGTATAACTGCAATGGCACCTAATATGGCCTCTATAGAAGAATATCGTCGTAAAGCAGAAAATTATTTAACACGTGTCAGTGAATTAAATCATATCACTAATATATTAGGTGAACAACGTAAACATATGGAAGATGCTAAATCAAAAAGATTAAGTGAATTTCTCGATGGTTTTCATGCTATTACAAATAAATTAAAAGAAATGTATCAAATGATTACACAAGGTTCGTGTTCTTTAGTTGCTCTTGTTGTTGATGATGATGATGAATTGCATTGGTGGTGTTTCATTCAACTACTGATTTCAGTATTACATATTTTCCAATAAAATCACAAACCAATCCAAGTTAGAAAACCATTAAAAACCTGGAAGGCCGTTTTTTCCTGTTATTGAACTACTCAATAGGGCGAACCAACGGCCCCGCAACCATAAAATTGATCTCATGACCAACCGTCTTGCAGTTGGATCCTTAACTTCAAAACCACTGAGCCAAAATCTTGTGGTGTGCAAGTCTAGATTCAATCTATCCACGATATTGTATGACCATATTCTATGTTTTATCGCTACAAAACTGTCCCTAAATATATAAGGTGACACATTTTTGAACGAAACAAGGAGAGATCTCATTAATTCGAAGATAGTTACAATTTCCAATTGATTGTTCTGTTCTCTTAGACGCTAGCATATAAAATGAGGAACTAATATGTCTATCATAGTTTAAGGTAAACTTTGAAATTATAACCACGTAAACTGAATCAGTAGTCTAAATGATCATGAGATCTGATGATCCTGGATCCTAATCTCTAGTGAGATCACAGAGTGATACACTGCTGAGAAGTTAACGCATTCAATATTCATCCACAGAGCCCCACTCCACCTGCTCTGATTTGGGCGACCGAATAATGTCACTAAGCCAGGTGGTTATATTGCCTTATTTCTATCGAGTATCATTTCATCTTTGATTCTTGATCAAATTACACTGGCTCAGATTCCTAGGCACGCAGCTTATGATGATACGTTATCAGTATCTTGTACAGCTCATACTGCATAGTTTTTCTACGTTCGACCTCGTCGTGAAACTAGACTTTATTATATCCTGAGAGATAAGTTAGTTTCTTAGTGAGATTTTGTGACTGCTTGCTCACACATGATCATTACTGGAAGTTGCTATCTGTATATCGGAAATCGCGTAGTTACCACCCACCACTGAGCTATTATCCATATCTACTCAAACATCAACAGTAACCACAATATATTAGTTGTTTATCACCAAGTTTGTTATGTTTTGTTTATGAAATCCTTAATTAAGTATTCAACTAATTGAAACACTGATTAATTATGTAATCTTGAGGGAACTGATGCTCCCTGAGAGATTATACTCAGTAATTGATCAACTGTAAATATATCTCAGTCTTACATGAGGTCAACCGAGAGTCAAACAGCTCATTGGTATCATTGCTGGTTGTGAATCTCGGTACCATGGAATCGAATCCTCCAGGAAGCATCAGTTTCCTCAAGATTACAGGGACATGGCAAACAGAGTTATCTGTAAACTACCTCTACTCATCACTGACTTACATCTCAATACAGCGCACTCATACCAACGGTAATCACATTATAATAGTTGTTTATCACCACATTTATTTAGTTTTTGGTTTTGTTTATAAGATTTTTAATTATGTAATTTCTTTTAATTGATAACAAAAACAATATAGGTGGAGATGCAGAATTAGAATTAATCGATTCACTTGATCCATTCTCTGAAGGTATTGTATTTAGTGTACGTCCACCAAAGAAATCTTGGAAAAATATTGCTAATTTATCTGGTGGTGAAAAAACTTTATCTAGTTTAGCATTAGTATTTGCATTACATCATTATAAACCAACACCATTATATGTAATGGATGAAATTGATGCAGCATTAGATTTTAAAAATGTTTCAATTGTTGGTAATTATCTTAAAGAACGTACAAAAAATGCTCAATTCATTGTAATTTCATTAAGAAATAATATGTTTGAATTATCGGATAGATTAGTTGGTATATATAAAACATATAATATAACAAAAACAATTACATTAGATCCTTCACCATTAATGGAACATTTACGTAGTTTAGTTATGCGTGTAGCTACTGCACATGGTCATGAAAAGATTTATCATTGTTACCACAACAACAACAACAACCACAACAACAAACAATGATGATTATGAATTCACCAACGAATACAAATTGTTTAACACCAGTCAAATCAATAAACTATTCAAAAGTAACTAACTTAGAAAATCATGATACTGTTGTACTAAAATCAAATATTACAGAGATTATTCTAGTTAATGATGATGATGATGAAGATAATGATACGGATATGCAAACAAGAAGATAACAATAAATAAAGAGATTGATAAACGGAAAACATTGTTTACAGTAAGTTTGTTTTTCTTTGATGTGTGTGTGTGTATGTATAGATACTTTGAGCCCCTCTGCGGCTATTGCCGGTTCCAAGCCCGGATAAAGGAGGAAGTTTGGGTATGGGGTTAGCGACCCCATCCCTTAAAAAATTAACTCGATAAAAAAACGCCAACCAGAAAGAAAAGATTCTGTAGATGGAGAAAAAAATCAATTGTTTATTCTACTTGAAGTTTGTACTGTTGATATCATTCAAAAGAATGATGAATGCTCCATGATCAGACTATTCAGCTGAAAGAATAAAACTTCATCAAAATAATTGACTAAATTGTTATATATATTGGGAGAGTCCTATTCATATTGATGAATCGTATATTACTTATTTCAGTTAGTATGTCAGTTGTAAATAACATAGAACATATCAGGTATGTTCATCGGTTGAAATTCTCATACTAGACATCATGACAGCTCGATAACAACGTAGTAGGAAGTACTATTTGTAATAGTGATACTAGTCAGTATAAGATCATACAAGATCAGAATTAAAATAAAGAATGAGAGTATCCATGTTATTGTAATTGATTCTGAGGCTACCTCAACTTACAAAGATAACTAATATTGCAAAATTGGTTATGTAGAGTAGAAGTGACCAAATCAAAATATGACATTCGTTCCAGTCTGTCAGCTACAATGTAGGACCAGGCATACCTCATTAGCACAGCATGATGAATAACGAATTCATAGAAATGGTCGTAAGATATACTAGATTCCATTTCATACTAGCCGACCATTTTCATCAGAAGGGTCTATTAAACTCTTCAAATTATAATTCCGTTTCCTCAGCGACGGTCGTTATGCTCAAATCGGTGACTATACTACCTTATTTAATGAAAGAATCAATGTATCATTCGGAATCGCTATTTTTCTTTGCTAAGTTATCGGGTCTAAAATTCAGGTGAAGATATACTTCTTGTTTGAATTTCTGATCAAGTATTACCTCAGGCAATAGATCAGAATCACCTTCGCTTTCACCTCATCTGTCATGATTGGTGCTCTTTATCTAAACAGATGTCAGTCAGTCAGCTACAACGTAGGACCAGGCATATATATGCATCGGTCCAAGTTACCATACCGCATTAGCACAACAAGATGGACACCAAATTCAGTGGTAATAATATATAAAAGAATGATTGTTTACTAGAATATAATACAGGGAAACAATCAGTTCGTAGAAAGAAAGGTGTAAAATAATTTTAATCTCATAGTTTAAGGAAAGACAAAGAGTGTATACACCTACGCCATTGTAATCGGTTCTAAGCCACGTCACTCCGAATTTCCAACCATTAGTTACAATAGTCACGCGGACCCCAACCAAGTAGTCTGCATCTCCCAACATATTGCTCACACTAGAAGTCGCAGTTAGTGACTTCAAGGACTGACGCCACGTTTTGGTTTGGTAGATATAAACTATCTGCTTGAAATTCATGTGTTTAAAAACTTTGGTTTTCATTTCTTAGAATCATTCACAATAGCACATATATATTCAATCTCTCGTTCTTGAATTCCTAGTATTCTATTTTGTCCTTTCAAAACCTATTCTTCATGCTTAGCCATTCCCATTATCACTGCTACTAACATTACTCCGATCTTATTTACCATACATCTTGTTAATTTCATTTCAAACTAACGAGTTTCGCAACTTTCGCCAACACATATTTGTGTTATACTCTATGTTTTTTTTATGTCTGCTGATATACCGTGATAACTTGAATTGATACATATATGTGCCAATTTCTACACTGCATATGACTTACTGATTGAGGCATGTCACCCAACATCTTTAACCTATTGATAACGATAATCGCACATACAGTCAGTCTACATTTATTTCCAACACAGTTCAGTTTAAAATTCAGTGACCTTACGAAAATTCTATCATGGTTTAACTTCTAGTTAGTTAGTTCTATTTCAACCCCCAAATGCCCCGGTACGGTCAAGGAGGGGAGAGTCCACTCTGTCTCTCGAAACGCGTATACAGCAGCTGTCAGGGAAGTCCTACTCACTGCCTTCTCGCACCACGGGTGTTGTTAACATAATTGAGACAACGAAAAGCGAATGTTTGGTGCTTTAACCGGGTTGGTGGACACCTGGGGGAGTTCAAAAACCCTGATTTCAACCTAATAAGGCACATGGTCTCCAGGACCACGGAGGAACAAATGGTGTATGAACCAATTGTTGATCACTGGCTACCGTGGGACTGCATCTGCTTACGTTGCTCTATTGCCTTGTGGATTTGACCTTTAGGTCAAAGTCACCGACAGTGTTCCCTAAGAAAACCACCTGTTTCTGTTTAGGCACCCAGTCAGTACCCCAGCCCTTAGACAAATCAATTGACTTGTGTGACGCATATAGATCATTCGATACCCCTTTATACCAATATTTATGTATTCAAATAAATAAATAATATACAACCAACGAAGTGTATTACACTCCATAATATTTAATAATTATCCCTTATCGTTTATTTCTTTTCATTTCAGAATCAGACTAATGATAATAACACTGAGTCTGCTATGGAATGTTGAATAATATATCTAATGTCATGTAGTGAATGCGATGATGTTTGCAGTGTATATTATAGAAGTGTAATTAATAAATAAACACATTAACGATGATGATAATGTTAACACTGTATATATTTTGTTTTGTTTATAAGATTTATGTCTCTTTTTTTCTTGCATTTATATCTATGGTATTTATTATTCATATATGTATATATATAAATACATAAATTTATGTAGAAATATGATTTGTCTTCTGTATGCTTAGTCGTTTTAGTTCCCTGATGTCTTCTTCGGGGAGAAGGAATGTACGTTTACGTAACAACCCGTGAAGTTTGTGTTCATATCCTTCGCCAAGGCAGTGAAATTCGAGATTGACGACCAACAAAATCCTATAGTTAACATTGGTAGTCACTCACATGTTATTAATAGCAAAGTCGTAACATTGATGGTGTACGAAGATAAGTAACTAGATAATTTGATTAGTCTTATGCTATAAAACAATTATCTACTTATAAGCATAGAGGGTTTATGGGGATTGCTGAATTTCATAGTTTATGACAGAAATTGAGAATCAGGAAGCGTCGGATACCTGTTTCTTCCTGGTACAAGATCGTTTATTAAATAGAGTTAAGAATGTAGTCTATCCTATGCCATCTCAGTGGTCTAAAGTTTGTGTTCTCACCACGAATGTTCTGGGCTCTATTCCCTATGGTATAATCTAATATGAACTGCCGATAGTGGGACCCATTAACAATATAATTGGTTTCACCGTCATGAAATATTGGCTTCGTTGACTCAGAAATTTAATGCGTGTGTCGTCCCAGTCATTTCAGATTTTCATGTCTGTTCTCGACTCCAATAAGATTAAACGATATTGCGGCTAGTGAAATGTATAGCCTATTAGTCTCGTATGTATTCTATCAATAAATCACCTTAGTAAAATTCAAGCACAAATCTTATTTAAAATAGGTATATTTCAGACATGCTAATTACTGAACCGTACAAAGACGAACGAAATATGCAACGATCTTATAGAGCATTATAGATCGCAAAACATAGCGACTTAAATAGCGTAGATAACACAGGAAGAGGGTAGAAATACATCCTCAGGGTCATAATTAAGTAATCGATTAGGCAAATGTGTGTGTAAGAGGATACATGGGATGGTTAAAATAGCTAGTTAGGATAAATCACATAGTTGTGAATTAATACGAATGGCTAAGATATCAAGGTAACATTGAAATGATTGTAGCATTTTAGTCTCAAAAAAGCTGTGGTGTGAGCTATTTATATCCACATAAGTAGTATTTAACGATGGACAGGAACAGAATGTATTTCAATAGAAGATCGAGAAGAAAACAACGGGAACAATAGCAATTGGTATGAGAATACACGAACAGTGAAATCTGAGACGATGGACTGACATTTGCAAAAGGAACAGTGAGGTTTAAGATGATGGATTGATATTTTTCAAAGTATTTCCTATATGGTCCTCAGATTTCAGTGAGATATTCTGTAATTTTGTATTCAAATACATTTGATTGCCGTCACTCGTGTTCTTGTTCACTACAAAAACACTTAATTATTCATTGGAACTATCGTATTAAACTAGTTCGGATATGGTGGCGAATTCAGTATAACATTCAATGACTAGCTTTATTATCAGTACGATACAGGCTTCATGTCTTCCACTGTAATATTTTAGTGAATGAGAACACAATTGGGGACAATCGAATGTATTTAAACACAAAATTACAAAACGACAGAGTACAATCTGAACACTATACAGTAAATACTTCATTTGCAAAATGTCAATTGATCGTCTCAGAATTCACTGTCCTTTCATTTCCACACCAATGATTCTCTAATCTCGTTCTCTTTCCGCCAGACATTTCACTTTCGATTGATGATACATACTACTTATATTTGTCGGCATCAGTAGCATATACCATAATATTACTTCAATCAATAGATTTGTACAAATCTAGTGTACATTTTATGCAATATGACAGGTGTAAGCTTTCTCTCACTGAATTATGTTATTTGTACTATCGTATTCACGTGAAATTGCTATATTAATGAGTGTACTTGTTTTAATCATGATGTGATTTCGAACATGTTTTGAGTATACATTTATGGAGAGTCATTAAATGTTCATTTGAATCTGTGGTTCCCGTTTTCCAAGTATAAACAGTAAAATTGTGGATACAACAGACCCTTTATGTACATAACAGATGCTACCAAGACACAACAAATTTATTAGATAATTTTCTATCCGTGGTTTTGGGAAAATATCTGCATAATTGTATAATTAAGTAGTATAGGTTAATTAGAGTGTTTAATTTTGATTACCTCTGGATAGTACTCAATTAGAAATCATAAATACAGTGGTCTTGAGTGCTGCTGGAGGCATGAGGGCGGTTATCACTTCCCGGTTGCCCACACCGTGGAAGGGTTCTTCTAGAGGTACTTGAAAAGGAAATTAGATTAGAAGTGACCTGAGAGCGTGACCGCAGTGCCCAAGGGACAACTGCTTGAGGTCGGTCACACACGACCTTTTTATGAGCAATTTTTTTGTCAGCTCCGTACTTGTTGGGACCTTATCGCCGGACTGATATCCGAGGGATAAGGCGAGGTGTGAATGTTTAAGGTTGACCTTTTCTAACCCCATCCCTCCTTGTGGAAAGGCAGCATCGCTATTATGCTGGTTGTTCGAAGGAAACACCTTACTGCCGTCACACCTCTGTACAATCAGCAGTACGACTTCGCCCTTGAACCTTGAATTTGTTGTTTTTAGTTTTACTGCTCTTCAACCGACCTGTTTGACATGGTAGGACCTTGAGGGACGGTTGTTCCAGCCAGTATAACTGGATTGATTCATCACGATAGGCAAGCCCGATCACCACGTCAAGGTAGCAACAACGGTCGGGATAATACTCAATTACTCCTACATAAATATAACTCATTTTTTCCACATAACGTACAAAATCTATTTTGTCAGAACGATAATCATGTATTACATGAACCAGATGTCACGAACCCTTGGTGTTAGAAAAAAAATATATCTAACAGCTCATTTACTTAAATTCATGCTCACTATTGGATGAATGACAGAAGAAGAGGAAAAACAAAGATGTCCACTATCTATACTTAAAAATTTTATCAAATATGTATGTATATATTGTTATCGGGATATAACATCTAGCCCAAAACTACCGCTACATTTTTTCTTGAACACTCATTAATCACTACAATGATTGACAGTAAGTAAATATGAATTCAAAAAAACCATCCATTTTTAATCTTCAATAAAACTGCATTATAGCATTTACGAGTATTTTTCCGTTCATTTCGTGCGTCAGTGTTGCATACGAATGCACTCACTACTAATAACTACATTTTGATCATCTGAACCTATCTACATATGTCTTCTGTAAATACACCCACTGTAGACCATCTCAACGTACAAGTTAGAGCTTGAAATGAAATTCTCAGGGAAAATTGTCCTCTTATGTGTCATTACATAAATGAAAAAAGTGCTAGATATATCACTCACATATTGAATAGACAAGTAGATAGGCTACAAATTCAAAGACATAGTATACTATCTCTACATGTAGCCCTATATATACATCTCACAATAATGATAATTGAATAAACATATATCAAATGTAATCAACTTCAGAATGCTTTACAGTTCAATAATAGAAGTCAATTTAGTTTGACGATATTTAACGAACAAGGTTGGTTTTCAGCCCATTAATTATAATGAACTAAGAGTCTGATACCAAATTCGAGTCCGTTCAAGTTCTCAGGTTAAATTAAAATGCCGACACAAAACTAACCAGATGAATAGTAATAGAGATCGAAATCATGTAGTAGTGGTAGTAGTAGCAATGATAATAAAGATAATTGAATATTGAGAGTATGATTCAATAAGATGAAATGAAAAGAATATTGAAACTGAAGATCTAAGGTAAGATAAAGAAAGAGTGATTGAATCTACGCAACCATTCGCGATTGATATCATAGTTTGTCATGAATTCACTAATGGATAACTTTAATAGCTCAGTTAAAGGATTACAGACAATATGAGTGTTTTGATAAGCTAAAAAGAAGCATCACGTACAAGCTTGACAAGATAGATCATGAAATATGGAACGAAATTAGACATTGAATAGTTAATTATTCATCTGAATATACTACTTAATTGATGAAATAGACAAAATATGTATAATCCAAATATTATCATATCAATTCAATTCAGATTTACTAGAATATGTGGGCTTAAACACATTGAAGATTTTCAATTATTATAAGTAAACAACAATTTTGTGCACTACTACTAACAAGTAATTTGAACATCCAGTAAGATATTCGGTTGAGATAACATTTCTCTGATATACAAATTCAATGGTATGCATATGGTCAAGTAACAACTTCACAATCTAGTGTTTGACTTTTTATCACAATGTGAAAACAAACATTGGAAAACTCAACATCAATCACCAAGAAAAAAGTACATTAACAAATCTCCACCCAACAACAAGTTAGTCATGTTGACTGTTCATCTTACTAGAGATGAGTGGTAAAGGGAGATATGAAATGGTGTGAATTGATTAAAGGTTGAGGTTTTGCTAGTCCAATGGTTCAAAGAGTAAACATTTGCAGTGAGACCAAAGTGGATGAGCATGGGTTGAGGAGTCCTATACTAACACCAAAACAGCTTTACAGTGATTATATTTTTTAAGCGCTGTCTGTCTAATTTAAGTCGGTTCGTGGTATCATTAATCACCACAAACTCCCTGTATAGACAGACAACTACAAAATTGGATTTCATAAACTAAAACTATCAATTTGAGATATTTTCGAGTTATTATCTTCTACACTATGGAATTTTGTAATACCAGTAATTAATAAGACACATGCCAAGTGAAAATTTGTGTAACTGGCTTTGAGTGAAACTATTTCTGTGAAAGTTAATGATATTACCAAGTGGCTTACATCGAAATACGTGGAAT